CAACGATTCGCCAGATGGTCTCCAGGGGGCTCACATCAGGTGAGTTTGCCGGCCAGTTGTTCCTTGGGTAAAGTTTGCAAATTCTTTTGACACCATGTCTGAAGTGTGCGCCGCTTTTTTCTCTTAAAAGCTTTCCACCCTTTGTGATGAATGCACAGTGATTCTCAGGTCCATTAGACTGCAGATTCTTGACTGCATTAGTGTTGATCACCCTAACATAACCAAGTGCTGAGCTACAGTCTGAAAGTCAGTATAGTGCCAGAACGTTCGATGATCTATTTTGCAAAATGACGCTCGAAGATTGAGAACATGGTGGCACCTGTGCCGAAAATCATTCTGAACCCAAAGAGTCATTCATGACAGCCACATTCCCTAGTCTCTCACAGGAAAGGCTATTTGCTACCCTCTTTGAACCTGTTCAAGGTGGCTGGAGATAAAGCCGAAACTGAACGATCAATATCTGAAAGAGACAACCCGAAAGAACAATTTTCCACACATAGCATACCCTCCATAATTGTATCAGATAAGGGCCCACAATTCAGCTCCGAACCCTTTCTGTTATCTTTCTCTAAGTACGACGTTGTTCTTGAGACAATTTTTCCCATTACCCAAGGGCAAATGGTGAAGTTGAAGGACAGACTGCACAGTCAAAGCAATGATCCTCAGGAATGAAGACCTGTGTCCAACCCTCCTTGCTTACCGATCTACACTTTTTCAGAATGGTTTTTGGATCACTCACCGTTTCTGGGAACGGAATCATCTTTCTACCGACGCTCAAAAGTAAATAAATAGACCCTCGAATTTTCAAGCGATACTTCAACACTCGACGAGGACGACTCAACTTCACTCGAGGACTCGACGAGGACTCGATGTCTCTGCGAGGATGACTCAATAAGGCACCATAACTACACGAGGATGACTCGGTGAGACACGGTTGACTCGACAAGGACGACTCCACGAGGATGACTCGGTGAAGTTGGCGAGTCATCGTGTGTCATAGAGTAATCCTCGTAGAGTCATAAAGTGAAGTCGAGTCGTCCTCATCGAGTCTTGAATAGCCATCGTCTATTTATTTATTTTTGAACGTCGGTAGAAAGATGACTCCGTTCCCAGAAACGGTGAGAGAACCTGGTAATTCACTCAACGAGTTACTCATAGGGTTCTACGTATACTTGTAAACCAAAGTTCCTGCCATACCCTAAAAAGCAAAATGCCAGTCAGCAGCCAGAGGGCAAGTACGGGTCAAAACAGATTAGCCATGGCAAACCCCACCAATCCGTTGCCCTGCTCCCTCCACCCACCACAGGTAAGCAAGTTTACGTCGACGACTAGAACTGGGAGGGTCAGATCACAGGAACTGCAAACGAGCCTGGCTCCTACTTAGTGAAGATTGATGTGAGCATACCGAGGTGCAATTTTTTATTAGTCTGCTCTAGCAGCAACTAGTTTGAAGCGTGCCATACCTTCCGACAGTCCAGCTATGGCACCTCATTAAGCATTACCAGTGACCCAATTACCTCCAAAGGTTTCCAGCCCCAAGCACGAGAATCTACCGACTGAAGTTTCGACACCTACTAGATCAACAACAGCAATGCCAGCTCAGGAGAGCCATCTGAATGCTGAAAACTCTCCAGGTCACCCTTCTATGAGTGGCAACCTGAGAGCAATATATCGTGTTACATGCTCTAACCCTGGAGGTGTTCTTTTGTGCATGTGGACATGTGTGAGGCAAACAAGACAAACAAAGCTATCTCAAGAGATCGAGATCTGCTGCCTATCCTTGACGAAGTGATACAAGGCCTGAGTGGTGCTACTGTGTTTGGCAAATTATAACTAAATCAGGGCTATCATCAGTTGCTGTTGCACCCTTACTCAAGGCATATTACCACCTTCTGTAATCATCTTATCGTCTTATTTAGATATAAACGTCTTAGTTTTGGTATTAACGCTGAGAAGTTTCACAATGTGATTGCCTCTGGCATTAGTGACATTCCAAATGTTAAAAACATTCGTGATGATGTCATAATCTATGGAGTGAATGTTCAGGAAAATGATAAGGGTCTCCATTCAGTGCTTACCCGCTTCTTAGAGCCAAAAATTACACTTCCCAAAAACAAATGCCAGTTCTACATGCATATGCCTTGAATTTATTTCTTTGGAATGGTCTTCAGTGCACAAGGAATGTTCCCTGACCATGCTAAGGTCGAAGCAATCAAACAAGCTGCCCCGCTAACCCGTGAGTATCGGCCGATTAAGTGTCGACCGGTACTCGACCGAGGGGTGCACAAATTACACAAGACCCGGTCGTGGATGCCTGTCCAATTGGGTTAGGTGCTATGCTGACACAAAGTGGCAAAGTGATCTCCTTTGCCAGTAAAGCTCTTTCCAGCGTAGAGAGGTGCTCTTCTCAAATTGAGCGAGAAGCATTGGCTGTCTCATGGGGTTACCATCACCTCCGAATGTACTTGTTAGGAAGCCACTTTAAAGTGATAACCGGACC